CCCGTGAGAACGCTTATGTTTCATTGACTTTCTCCAGTAACGAGAACTTTTATGAGATAATATTGAAGAGAGATGATTTTAATATGGTGTAAATGGTAGCTTGGGCAGCTTTAGGCGCAATGGGAACAAAAGCATTAGCATTTGGAGCAAAAGCACTTGGAGCTTATGACGCAGTAAATAAAATGAGTGGAGGAAGGGTTTCAAAGACATTAGATGCAAATAAAGGGAAGATTGGAGGCTGGGTTGCAAAGAAGTTAAGATTAAATAAAATAGGGCTCATAAATAAAGCATCCAATTTGGTTGCGACTGAGTCAGAAAATGCTTTAGGAAAGGACGATGAGTTTGCAAAACACGCAAAAGACTTTAATGACCAGATGAAAGGTGAAACAATGCATTTAAATAGATTCGATGGAACTAAAGAAAATGTTTCTTCTCCACCAGTAGTTCTTCCGTATGGTCCCTATGGAATGTATGGAAACCCTTACGAAAGACCATTTGACCCATTGACTGGTGGAAGTAACTGGTATCATTACGGACGGAGAAGAAAGACAGTCAAGTTGGAGACAGACGTGAAGAAAGCAACTAAAAAGAAACCAAGGAAGAGAGTTATAAAGCAATGAATTCAAAAGGGTGAAAAAACAGGTGAAAAAAGAGGTGAGATCTCACCACTTCACCTAAATTTATTTTTGTGCTATGTTTTCATACGTGTGAGGGTGGTGATATCATTAATTTTTAAGTTTATTTTTTATTTTATTTTTATATAAATGACGAAAACTATTGAGATAACAAACTACAACGGTCATGAGTTCAAGAATTTGTTCTTCGTTCCTCGTGAAAATACATTCTATCAGATACGAGGGAGAAAGGGTAAAGTTAGTTTGAGCGTTTATGACTACAAGCATAATGGAAAGTTTATACAAGCATATGATACAAACGGTAAGCGTGTTTCATTAGCTTTGTCAAAACTTACAGGTATAAACTATGACAGTGATTTTGACCTATATGAAGAAGAAAGTGAGTCAGAAGATTATGAGCTGTTATATGAAGCACAGCAATGGGAGGACTTGCAATACTTTTGTAAGTGAGAACGTTTATTTTTTTACATTAGTGAGGTGAAGTGGTTGGTGGCTTTGTAAATATTTAAGGTTAAGTTAGTGTTGTTGTTTGTGTTGTAAAATATACGTTAACGGTTTCGTAAAGTGTCAAATTCACATATCATGGGTAAGGAGGCGCGCAGTGCCGCCGTACCCTTGATATGTATACTAATGTTGTAAGACAAGTTACGGAAAGTGAGGTGAACCGAAAAAGTGACACTTATTTGGTCGGATAAATTCCCTATATATTTACTTGTCAAAAAAAATCAGACTTTTTTTGCTTTAAAAAATTTATAAGTTAATTATTGAGAACGAAGGTGAAAGGAAATGGATATCTCTTACCTTTCATTCCCTCGAGAAAGTTCAAAAACTTGGGTGCAATCAGTTCTGATTGCACCCAAGTTTTTGAACTTTGTATAAGGAATTGTTGGCTATGATGCACTGATCATGAATCAGTACATCATAGCCAACAATTCCTTCGCAAACAGCGGGAAACTTTGTCTGAATAGTTTAACATTCAGACAAAGTTTCCCGCTGTCAGAGAGGGAATGGAAGGGTAAGAGGTATATATTCATAATGTATACCTCTTACCCTTTCATTCCCTCGAGAAAGTTCAAAAACTTGGGTGCAATCAGTTCTGATTGCACCCAAGTTTTTGAACTTTGTATAAGGAATTGTTGGCTATGATGCACTGATCATGAATCAGTACATCATAGCCAACAATTCCTTCGCAAACAGCGGGAAACTTTGTCTGAATAGTTTAACATTCAGACAAAGTTTCCCGCTGTCAGAGAGGGAATGGAAGGGTAAGAGGTATATATTCATAATGTATACCTCTTACCCTTTCATTCCCTCGAGAAAGTTCAAAAACTTGGGTGCAATCAGTTCTGATTGCACCCAAGTTTTTGAACTTTGTATAAGGAATTGTTGGCTATGATGCACTGATCATGAATCAGTACATCATAGCCAACAATTCCTTCGCAAACAGCGGGAAACTTTGTCTGAATAGTTTAACATTCAGACAAAGTTTCCCGCTGTCAGAGAGGGAATGGAAGGGTAAGAGGTATATATTCATAATGTATACCTCTTACCCTTTCATTCCCTCGAGAAAGTTCAAAAACTTGGGTGCAATCAGAACTGATTGCACCCAAGTTTTTGAACTTTGTATAAGGAATTGTTGGCTATGATGCACTGATCATGAATCAGTACATCATAGCCAACAATTCCTTCGCAAACAGCGGGAAACTTTGTCTGAATAGTTTAACATTTTGGAGAACGGTTTCGACGTTAATACCGCTTTGAATAGTTTAACATTTTGGAGAACTTATACAAAGTTCAAAAACTTTGTCTGAAGAATTCTTCCATCTGTTAAAGGGACATTTTGGAGAACGGTTTCGACGTTAATACCGCTTTGAATTTGTTGATTAGCTTGATTTAACCATTCTAAATCAATTAAATCGAAGATTCTACCACTCATTGGAAAATTATAAGTTTTGAAAAAAACCGTAAATCATTATTGAATCTAAAAATATTTATGTACAAAAAGTCGGTATATATTCTATAATTATTTAAAATAATGAAAAAGTTGATTTGTGAATCATTGAAATATTAATGCTGTTATATATATATATCAGATGATATAAGATGATTTTTTTTAAATAAAAAATAAAATTTAATTTTTTAATTGTTAAAATAAGAATAGTAAGCTTGACAAGTAATTTAAGTTTTTGCTTTGTAAAGTTATTTGGTTGGCAAATGCATTGTGTCACTTTTTGTTTGAGTTCACTTTCCGTAATTTGTCTTATGATACTAACTCTTACAGGTGTAATAAATATAAGATAGGATTACACACGTAAGCTCTTTTCGTAAACTTGCACTTAGAGATCAGCATCGAAACAAAAAGTGCAAGCTTTTTACGAAAAGAGCTTACAGGTGTAATAAATATAAGATAGGATTACACACGTAAGCTCTTTTCGTAAACTTGCACTTAGAGATCAGAAAGTAATGACAAAATTATAACAAATACTAGATCTTAAATAAGTACCGACATCATGCAACTTCTAAATCTACAACATTTAATGAGAGAATGATAAAAACTTCTAGATCTGAAATAAGTAATGAGAGTTTGACTGAAACTGCTAGAGCTTAAACAAGTAATGAGAGAATGAATGCCACTGCTAGAGCATTAACAAGTAATGGGAGAATGATAAAAACTTCTAGATCTGAAATAAGTAATGAGAGAATGAATGCAACTGCTAGATCTGAAGCAAGTAATGACAGAATGATAGCAGCTGCTAGATCTGAAACAAGTAATGAGAGGGCTGACATCTGATAGGAAATAACTTTTATTGAATCTGAGCTCAAATTCGATTAATAACATCGCACAACTGATGCACTGATCTGGTTTGAGCTCTTATGAGACAACCCCAGTTAAGTGATTACATCATTTGTTTTCGATCAAATGAGAATCTTAACACCGCACAACTGATGTAAAGATCTGCTTTGATTTACTGGCGTATCCGTAATCAAGCCTACTTGGAGTCAGATCTTAAAATTTCTTGGCTGCTCGAGAGAGATTACCAAATGAAAAATGACACTTTTTGGCGCCTCTTTTCTTTTCAAATTTTCCCGCCATGTAAAAATTGCATTCAAACTTTCCCGCAATATTAATCCCTTTCAATTTGTAAGACACTTAAAACATCTCCACAATAGCAAAGTATAATACAGATTGAATTGTAATGCAATGATACCTTACTAATTAATAATTATTTATCAAATCTATTAATCTTTAAATCAAAATGTATGGGAAACCATAAATAAATGATAGATTATCGATCTAACTACTAAGTATGATCTATATGCATGCTCAGAATATATACTTATCGATCAAAGATAAAAAGAAATTTTAATATTAAGGAATAACATACAACAGTAAACTCTAATTCTTGGACTGCTTAAATCCCGACGATATTGCCACGACCAGTTTCAGCCGTTTTGAACAAGGACGGGTTTCACCGCACAAAGTTGATGTTGCAATTTTAGTAGCTAAAAAATGGTGCCCATTTTAGGAATTTTCTCACTTTTCTTCCAAATTGAAATGTTTATAACTTATAAACATTTTGCGGGATTTTAATTTTTGAGATTAATCGAAAATTGAGAGTGATATGGTTCTAGTTATCGGAGATTCGTTTCGAAATTCATTATTTACTTAATATATCGATATTTAGGCAAAAATTGAAAAGTGAAACAGTTTTGTAATTCTTGATGAAGATTGATAGCTTTACAAAATATGCTATACAATCAGACTCAAATATCGCTTTGATAAATTTTGAAACAATATAAACAATGATATGTATATCATGGTGGCACATTGCATTCAGTGAAACTAAATCTTATTTAAAATAAATTGCTTGAATCCGATCTGTGAGAATAACCCCAATGATAACTCTTTATCTCGTTTTTAGTGTCTTAATTCTCCATTCATTTTTTTGATCCAAAATATTTGATGATTCTGAACGCACTGTTTGAATAGATTTTTACAATCAGTTGGCATTATGCTTCGATTTACTATATACTTTCAACATTGAAGATCTCAAATATCTGAAAATATATTCCTGCTTTATTCATTCTGTAATTTACTTCATGAAATCCACCAAATTCTACTATCTTCTCATTATCAATCTATCCACAAAATATTAGATAGTTGCAAAGCAATTATTTAGTTATTCTACCCGTAAACTCAAGAAATTTCTCAAATTTTGACATAAAAATTTTTATAGACGATAAATTATTCAAGATAAAAATATCTTTCAATATGGAACAACACATATTATCTGTGAGATTCGCGAAAGTAAAATTGAGACTTCAGGAACAAAAATTGAATAGTGACATCATTTAGCAAGATACATGATCAGCACACTATGTAACTGCTCCAGAAATTTCACAAAGTTATACGCTAAGACGCACGAATACATTGATGTTGAAGGCACAATTGGAAAAATAGGTTTATCCGAGTTTGCAATGAAAATGCTTGGAAAAGCAACGTTTGTAGATGTCCAGGTTGGAAAAACTTTCAAGAAAAGCGAAGAATTTGGAACAGTTGAAGCCACTAAAGCAGTTACTCCTGTTCAGACCCCAGTTTCTGGCAAAATTATTGAGGCAAATGCAGCTGTACTTGACAACCCAGAGCTTTTGTCAAAGAAGCCAGAAACAGATGGATGGTTTGCTAAAATTTCGCTTTCAAATGAAGCTGAGCTTAAGGAATTGATGACCAAGGAAGCTTATATCAAGTACTGCGAAGGAAATTAAGGTAATCACCTTATATAACATACATTTCTACATAAAATATGCTAAAATTAACGGTAAATAAAGCTTATAATTTTTTTTATGTTACATATATTTCTCACGTTTCAAAAGGTCAATATGTTAACTTTCTTGTCCGCAATTGGTTCTAACGGGGTTAAACTTAGAAACTATATTTTCCGATTTTTTTTTTAAAAAAGAATATTTTCATATTAATGTTCTGAATAAAAACAATAATTAATGAAGAAAGTCTCTATTCTAACAACTAATTTATATATATGAACAAATCAATTAACATATATATCAAATCAAATCATTTGAGGATGCTTCGTACTTTGCAATGACTGCATATCTAACAACTAATCCTATCAAATATAAAAATGTTGCAACGAAAGAATCAATCAAGTCTTTTTTGAGGTTCAAAGTGAAAACTTCCTCTTCCTCTGATGAAAGAATACTAAAATAAGCATTTGATTTAGAATCTGCTTCATATTCAAGGTCTATGGGTCTACCAACCGAAACGAATCCAGCTCTTGTAAAGTGGTATCTTCCTAGCATATAACAATCAGCAATCCAAAGAGATAGTGTTGTTATTGCACGACCAAGGGCAATCGTATCATGGAAAAATATGTCTTTTTCTACAATAAAAATAATAGTATATAAAATTGGGAAAATTATATTTTCTACGTGTAAAAACCAGAAAGGAATACGCTGTGAATAAAAATGAGCAATATAGCTCATGCAGAATGTCCCAACGACTTGACCAACAGAAAGATCGCCCGAAATTACAAAATGAATTCCAGCAATAAAATTGAGTGAGGCAAATATCGGAGCAAATACTGATTTGGAAACTGATGCCAGAGAAACAATATATAAACATGCAAGATTGAAAGAAGCAAATTTTGGCGAAGGAAAGCATGGTGTAGAAGCTAATACTCCTGAGTTTTCTTTTTGGAAACATGGAGATGGTTGGCCAATAATCAGTGACATTGGAATGAAAATTAGGTAAATGTATAAACGTGAGATTTTCAAGTATGAATCATCTGATCGGACGAGAAAGATGAGAGGCAATATTAAAAGGATAACAAGGCACACACTCACCAAGATCAGAGGTTTTGCCCACCGAAAAATGTGTGAAAATATAAGGCTTATCACTGTTTGATATATGTTTATATAGAAGCATCTATTTAGAAGGGAATCTCCTAAGAGTGATTGTGGGTTAGTGAAATAAACCATGAAAACAGTTCGAATTTGAGAAAAAAAAAGGTATCGCTCAGAAAAAATTTGAGAAGAAAATGAACGGTACGTCAGAATTTATACTTTAATATCATTAGACCAAAAAGATATTTGAATAAAAATTTTCAGAGAATACCACAAATTTTTTCAATGACCTCGAGAAAACTATGACTCGTTATTAATATTAATAATAAATTCCAAATAAAAAATGTGAGTCCCAGTAGTATATTGGTTAGAATAGATCCTTGACACGGATCAGAGGCCAGTTCGATTCTGGCCTGGGACATTTTTTGCTCATTCTAACTGTTAAAAGTGACAATCAATTTTTTCATGTCAACACCCAAGAAAAAAGAAAACGATAAATCTCAGTCCAAAGATAGGCAAAGATCGATGAGTACAATAAATCTTAGCCCTGTTAAAGCGACAAGCTTACGAAAACATGAAATAGATCCAGATGTTGATTCCGATGATCCAATTGTTTGGGGATTTTTATTACCGTTGGTTCCGTCACCTGATACAAACCAAGAAATAGATCATCTAAATGAACAATACTCGCTTTCAAATTTACTGAAAAAATTGAAGAAGCAAACTTAACTTTTCCTTTACGAATTTGCATTGTATATAACTTGTATTTTATAAAAATTGCTGTTGCCGAACTTAATATTGCTACAATTTTTTTATCGATTTTGAAATTATGTAACATTCTCGTCAGAATACAACGTTTGCCTATTTAATGCATTTCTCCATTTGGAAATGGCTTTTCGGGTGAAATTTTCAAATTTCTAAATTAATCAAGTTAAATTATTATTGTTTTCTTGAATTAATAGTATCCCTCCTCTAGTAAGACGCTGAATGTTAAATTTCTATCGAATGGACAAAATTTATATCAATTATAATTTAAATTTGTAAACTACACAAAAGTACAATTGAAATACAACCAAAATTTTCATCAAAATAAAGTTTGTTAATATTTTTGGCGATAAATTCAACTATATAATAACTCTTATTCTTTCTTAATTTGGAAATTTGCCCAACGTTTGAAAATTTGTGTGTGAAAATTTTTTTGGATAAATGCTTATTAAACAATTACAAATTTAATCTAAAAATTAATGGATTGAATCAACGTTTTGAGAATTAGAAATTGCATTAAAAAAAAAAAAAAAAAAAAAAAAAAAAAAGGAAGTGGGGCTTCCAGGCACTTCGTGCCTTCTAGCCCTGAGGATGAATGAGTATAATGAAGTTTTTTTTTTCTTGGGGGATGGCTTCCAGGCACTTCGTGCCTTCTAGCCCCCGAAGATGTTTAGTATAAATGAAGTCTTAGAGGACAAACATGACTATGAGTTTTGATATGACAAGATAGAATATGAGAGAGGTCCTATAAACCGGAGAAAGTGTCATATAAACATCTGTCAAAAACCGTTTTTTACTTCACTTAAAATGCCACGTAAGCTACGTAAGAATATACGTAAGAGGAAGGGAGCATTGAAACATCCAATAGTAAAACTGACACCACAACAACGTTGCAACAACAAATAATGAATGACCCCACTATGTTGCAACAAATGTCAAGCAACCCTATGCTTTTAAACCGAGTTGTTGGTGCACAGAGTGGAGGTTTAAGAGCGGCCTTTTAGCGAAAATGGCAGGCTATGGTGGAGCTGCAGACGGAACAGCCTATAACCCTCAAAGTCAAATGAATTTGAGTTCACTCAAAAATCAAATAACAGATGTCAAAAAGTCAAACATAGACATACAGAAGCAAATAAGTGAAAACGAAAAGAAACTAGAATATGACAGACACACAAAGAAACTCAATGAGTTAAACGTAGAGAAAAAGAAGAAAGAAGAACAACTGAAAGAACTAAGTACAGAGGAATATGCGAAAAAAGTGTCAGAAAAAGCAGCAGAAGTAGCAAAAATGGAACAAGATGTCATAAATTTGAAAAACCATACTACTCAATATAAAATACTGAAAGATGAAGAGATAAAACAAAAGCCCTGAAGACATATATGGATAGCGATGAGTATAAAAAAGAAGTTGAAGCAAATGTAAAGGCAGAAAAACTTTTACAGTTGCAAAACCAAAACCGTACAGTATGAAAACTTAGCACAAGAAAGTAAAAATAACGACGCAGCCATGCAAAAAGGCAATGAAAAGCGCAGAATATATAAAAGCTAACAATGACTGGTTAGATGCCCAAGCCAACGCTAAAGCAGCCAGCTTATAGGGTCAATAAGGACAAAAATACAAGGCGGATGAAAGATAGTTCAAATGAAGCTTTAACAAATGCTGACTTTAAGAAACGCTTTCGAAGCTCTTCATAGTAAGGTGAAACAAGTGAACGACTTCTCATCTGGAAAGAAACTGAAGTCTGAAGGTTTCGACAAAGAGGTTAAGAGAAGTAAGCACAAAATATGACGAAAATAACAGATGCAGCAACGAGACAGGCAGTTCAAAGTGCCTATGACGCCGTTAGAGCAACTGTTGTGGAAAGTCAAGAAAAAGAGTTACAACAGACCAAAACAGACCTAGTAAATGCTTTCTTAAAAACGAAAAGTCAGGTAGGACATTATGCCTGCAGATGGGAACATATGTGCCAGCTGGTGAACTTATATACCACCAAACCCTCCAAGAGAAGCACCTGCACCAGGACTACCTAAAACATTTACATGAATCGTCAACATGGACACAGACACAGGCATGCACAACAACCAGCACCACAGAAACAACCACACAGCAACACAACAGTTAAAACCCTGCACAACAACCACCTCCACAACCAGCACAAGCAACCACAAAACAGAGCAAGGACATAAAAAGTAGAGAACAAGGAAACCAAGAATTCTTAAAAATGCTTAAAGAAGAGTGTGGTTTCCCAGATACTGTTGACTTTAGTGACAGATATAAAGAAGCTATTAGAAAGTCAAGGATGGAAATACTGACCGGGGGCCA